AGAGAGAGAGAGAAACAACATGACGAGCTATAGCTCCTGGTAGACCCTCGAAAAAAGCTGGCCACCCACAACCAGAATCAAATTTGGTGGAGGATTTGTAAAGTGGAGTCCCACAACCACCACATTTGTAGATTCCTTCTTCAAATAACTTGTTATACTCCCCCGTGTTTGGGAACCTGCAAGAATACTAACATCAATGCATGCGGATCTGCAATAAATTCCAGAATGGGATTCTTCATGGAATCAATTCTCGTAAGAATGTGTAATTTTGAGTCAGTTATTATTCAGATGCATGCAATTAACCACATCTAAGTTAATTAAATAACATTGGAACTACTACAAAAAATATTATGCAGGCGAGTGAAGAGAAGGATCCAAGAGCTGTGTGTGTGTGAATGTCGCTGCTGAAAGAGCCAAAAGCATATGGGGCTAGTACGAGCATAATATCCGTATATATGTGAATTTACTTCATTTAGATGTTGTCTATCATATTCTAAAATATCTCGTCTCCTGGGAGAGGGAGGTTGTTTACTAATCATGGTCATATGGGTGTTGCAATCTAAACTGATGCTATTGGGCTGGTCCACATACTGATAGAATGTCAACTACATGCTCTTGTACCTTTGTTGGTGGTAATCTGTATTCATGGAAGAGTAAAAAACAAAATATAGTTGCCAGATCAAGTGTTGAAGCTGAATACAGGGCAACAACACATGAAGCATATGAAGTTGTGGTTGAAAACTACACTGGCTAATCTGGGAGTTTAAAGTTCAAGTACCTATGACCTTTTATTGTCGCAATGAAGTAGCCATTCGCATTGCCACGAACCCTCTATTTCATGATAAAAAGGCATATCCAGGTAGAGTGTCATTTCATAAATAAAAAAATTCCAGCCATAACTATTTGTACCCCTTGTGTGAATCGAGGATCAACTAGCGGATATCTTCACCAAAGCAATTGCTCATCACAGACTGCATGATATAGTTGTTGACCTGAGCATGACTCATATCTATGCTCCAGCTTGAGGGGGAGTGCTGAAAGTGCATCAGTTAGGGATGTAAATCATTATTTGTGAGTTATTAACTTATAAGAATATTTTTTGTAATTTTTCCATATCATTAATAATATAAACATGTGACCGATCCCAAAGAGGGGTCATGTCACTTGTCCCCCTTCCTCTCTTTCCCCTGCACTCCTCACTCTTACACCACTTCCCCCATCCCTTCCTTCTTCTTCCTTTCTCTCATGCACCTCTCTCCCTCGTATTCATCTTATTCTTCTTCCTCTTCACATCTTTACTCCTCTTCAAAATATTCATCAATACTTGCTAATTAATATAGAGTCATAGACGTAAATTATATCTTTCAACCAAGTCTACATCTTTTTCTTTTCTTTAACTCTGAATAACATTCTGTAAACACCCAGACAAAGGGTAATTCACAGTAAATAGTTTGGATGTTAAGGAAACAAAGATTATGAGTGAACCTGGAACTCTTGTATTCCAGTTATAAAAGTAAAAATCTTCAATCTATACAAATATGGGAGAGTTCGGATGGTATACATTTTTAGTGAGACAAGCAGTCTAGCAGATGTGCAAGCTAGACAACTCGAGATTCACCAAACGTATACCGGAAGGGCAGGAGCTTCTAGCAGTCGTCCTGGGTTAGGACTCCTTAGGTCTTCCTCCTTGAGAGGACCTTCTACTTCATCTTGGCCATTCCAACACCAACCGCAACCCAACCCCAACCCCAACCACAACCACAACCACAACCACAACCAACCCCAACCCCAACCCCAACCCCAACTCCCCAATCACAACTTACCAAATCATCTAGAATTGACCCCTTTAAGGCCCAAATATCGCCAAAAGAACCTAAGGCCACATAAGCATTCGGAATTAAGGATAAGGCAAAGAGGGCAGTCGCTAGGTTCTTATACAGCAATTGCCACACCTGTCAATGCAATAAATGGTGAATATTATCAAATGGAGATAATCACTATAGCTGAAGCATGGCCAGGATTCAATAGCCCAATTGCAAGTGAGCTTGCAAGCTCTTATTTGGGTAACGAGGTGGCCGGTTGACATGGACCTAGGAGGGGGGTTACCATCATGTTTGATGGTTGAAAGGATGCGGAAAGGGGAATATTGGGGTGCCGAAGAGAAAGCCAAGGTTCTTGACATTCGGACCACTACCACCCATTGTGGTTCATATAGCCAGTATTTGGTGGAATGGAAAGAAAGATCTGAGTTAAAGAATTCGTGGATTTCAAAATAGGAGCTGAAGTGGATTGATCGAGGCGTATAGGAAGTCCCTGATTTAATAAAACTTGAGGGCGAGTTCTCTTTAACCAAAGAATACTAATCTAGACGAAACTCGTCCAACAAACTTCAGATGTTGCTTTCAGACCTTCAGAGGTTTTTCCTTTGCCAAGTTTGATGGGTAAAACCAATGTAGTGGGTTTTGGTGTTATAGAGCTTAACCATTTTGAAAAGGGGTAAAAAGTAATTTTGATTCATGAGCAAAAAGTTACGGCCTCTAGAAGTTGCAGTGCCGATTTAAGGACACAGTAGTCCATTTTGAGAAGGGGTAAATAGCAATTTTGATACACGAAAAGTCTATTTTCACTAAGATTCCTCTTTAATTACATTTGAGTTCTATAAACAGATTAAGAAAGAAGGGGGTGAATAGTTCTTTGGATACTATTGTTACGTTTCCTTGTTTATCCAGAACATCACTAAGAAGTTTGGCATGTAAACTCCCCTTTAATTTTCAATCAAGTTTTGGATTTTTTATGTGAAATCTTCTCGATTGTTAGTCTGATTTTGGATCATGTGTGTACCCAATCTTCAGAGTAGCTTATCAAGATACTGCATAATGGAAAAGAAAGTGAGAAACCATGTGATCAAATGAATCCATCAATCAGATACCAGCTACTAATTAGTGACACCGCAACATGAATAAACCAGATTCTTTGACAAGTGAATAACAAAACAGAGAGAAAAAGAAGGAGAAATAAATGCCTCAAAAAGATCTTAGAACCATCTCTATGCTGCTGAATCATGAAATCAAACTGCAAGCAATCAAGCAAACAAATAAAAAGGAAAATTAAAAAAAATTCAGAGCACACCAAAGAGATCATAGCTCAATACATAATCTTTGTTGTTCAGATCCCATGATCAGGAAAGGATGATAAATGGGTAGATTAATTCATCAACTAACCAAACAAATTTAGTGAAGATGAAAACCCCATAATCAGGATGATAGACAAATAAATTAGTTCATCAAATAACCAAACGAGCTTTGTGACTGAGAAAACTCAAAAATTAAGAATGAATGATAAACCAAACAAATTTGGTGATTATGAATGTAGTGGTAAATGAATACATCAAAACCACTTCATAATACAATAATATCATTGAACAAGCATTTGAATTCCTATAGATTTGAATCCAAGGAAAAATAAAAATTTGATCAATAGGATGAATCAAATTCTAGATCAAGTAAATGAGATCTTACTGGAACATTAAGGGAGAGATGATAATGAACCATCAACTCAGAACAAAAAAAGGGTATGAAAAATTCATCCGATGAAAACAATGGAGCAAGGAAAGAAACAACCAACAAATTGGATGATACTACTAAAGAATCAATACAAACGCCAGTGACCAAAATCAACCCATAAAGATATCCTGGGAATTAAAAAAAAAAAAAGGAAAAAAAGCACAGATATTTAGTCAACCCATGAATTAAAACAGCTCAAGAGATAGCACACTTGAAAAAGAAGAAAACCCATAACATTGTCACCTAATTCGACCCCCACTCACCCACCCCAAAGAAAAAAAAGGAAAAAGAACCATTGTTTTATGAGAAAAAGAGACATACTCAGTTCCTTTTTGCCTGAGAATTCTGAACTGTTCAGGGGAGAGAATGGCTCTCCACTCCTCCTCAGACTTCTGCACTGAACCAGGAGAAGCCATGGCCACTCCGAATTTTCTAGAGAGAGAGTAAGCAGAAGCTGAATTCCCCGTAAAAATTGCAGGAAATTGACCTTTCTTCTTGGTGGGTCTATGACAGGAAAGTGAAGGTAATGGAGAAGAAGTGGGTATTTTAAAGCCGTGAATAGGGACTGGATAGCGGCGTAGGGGAGGAGAGAGAAAGTTGGAGGAGAGAGAGAGAGAGAAAGGCGAGAATTTTGTGAAGAGTTGGAGAGCCATCTATTCTCTCTTCTCCTCGAGGTTTTACTTGCCTTTATTTTATGTGCCAGGGGGATGAGAAGCTCTTAAAAAATTTGAGAGCCTATATTATGCTCCTTCGGGAGCGTACTATGTTTTTACTTCCTTGGCATAACTACTTTTTTTTTTTTTTTTTTAATTTAAAATTTTGGAATCATCAAATTGTAACAAGATAATTATTTTCAAAAAATAAAAAACAAAGATTAATAGTTCTTGAACATATAGATGGTTCCCTCCAAAAATTAAATAGTTATAGTGCAAACTTGGGATGTCAATCTTATTAGGCACGTAGAAAGTGAAATTGTTTTTGGGGGGTTGATTGTTGGGTTCTAAAGATTGCATTCCCAAAAAATAGGGAACTAAGTTTTGCAAAATAGCAAATATTAAGGACCGCATTAGTTTCTCTCTATAATCTTAAAAATAAAGAGAAACATATGAAAATACCTCTGACAGACTAACCATTTGATGGTTTTGATATATATATATATATATAGGCTTTCATAAGACCTTGGTTAGGGTCTAGACCCCAACCGAAACTGAGTCGGGTCCGAGTCTACATTTTAAACCCAATGGATCAAGTCCGGGTCCAGGTCGACCTGGATCCAACCCGATCCAGTGCCACCACTAGAGAATATGAATGTCTCCTCAAGGCAAATCATCGGCTGATTTGAAATTCTCTTGGGATCAAGTTGCAACAGTGGGTCAATACTTGCAACTTGGGTTAAATGCTAAAAGCGACAATAAATAATATAAAATTGTCATTAAGTACTTAAGAATAGGGGAGGATTAGAAATTTGGAATTTGAAATATACTCATATGAAAAATACTCATATCTAAGCAAGTGGATGTTGATATGCATATAACCTTTTGGATTTATCCTTGAACAATTCAATTAAGATGCACCTCCATAATCTATTATAACATCTAATTTTGGTGTAAAAAATTCTTAAGATTATCTCAAAATCTATTTTCATATCTAATTATAAAATTTAAACTTCAAAAATAGTTAAAATCAAATTGATCTACGAACATATGAAATCTTGAAAATGGACCGGCTAGATAATGTGTTGCAATATGCATTATTTTTAGGATTCAAAATCTTTTCTTTTTTTTTTTTCATATTCATACATATTATTGTCGAGATGATCAAATTAGATGTTTTTCAACATTAAAACAACCATTTTCGATGGATTTTTGAAGTGCATATGTAATTCTACATTTTAAGGTTGCAACCTAATATAAACTTTTTTTTCCCTTCTTTTTCTCTCTCTCTCTCTCTCTCTATATAAGGATTCAAAATCTTTTTTTCTTTTTTTTTCATATTCATACATATTATTGTCGAGATGATCAAATTAAATGTTTTTCAACATTAAAACAACCATTTTCGATGGA